TAATGTTACTATTGATTTTCATTAATGTATATATATCTATAATTATTGATATATGTTTTGTAGTCATTTCTCTATAATGTGTATAATAATTTATACTTTTATAGATGAAGGTTCAGTAGAGAGCAAAGCATGAACATCAAATAAATAAGAATTTTTATTCGAAAGCATCTCACAGACTTAATGAGATGTTTAGGGATGCAAGAATTACTGATCAAAGATTAGACTGGATTGGAGATCACGTTTGGAGCAGCTTGCTAGAACATTGGAGCTCACCAATGTATCGGTCCAAATGTGCACAAGCCCAAAAATATAGGGCATCTGAAAAGGGTGGGAGCCTTCACACAGGTGACTCTATCAGCACATATGAGCATGTCATGCGTATGGTAAGTTTTTTAATCATACATTTAAGATTTTGAAATATTTATTGGGTTTTATATCTCAAATTATTTATGTAATGTAGGCAAAAGAGTTTGGAAGATCATTTTTTATTGATGAGATCTTCCAACAGACTCATATTAGGAGGAAAATAGGTCAATTTGTTGATAAAAGATCTAGGAAGACACACGTGAGAACCTTCACTTAAAACTTTGTATATTATGATATGTAAAGTTAATAATCATGTTAATAATTTATTTGTTTCTACTAATAGGAGGAATTTGAAACTAGACTTTCACAAGCTAGGTCATTTACTGGATCTTGTGTTGGTGAAGCTGAGTCCACTCCTAGTGACTCTAGACATGATGAAGTTATAAGGTCCCGTTGTTGGGTGGACACAGTTGGAGGTAAGAATAAAGGAAGATTGTATGGGGCTGGAGAACTTGCTCATGGTTATCAGGGTGGTTCTGATAACTTGAAGCATCAAACTCAAGCATTCAACTCCTCAATTGACTTAGAAGAAATGAATAAGTTGAGACAACGACTGTTTGCACAAGAAGAAGAAATTCGTCGAACAAAGGAGCACAACGAATTACTAGAGCACCAATTTAGAGAGTTTCAATCCCTTGTCAGTGCAGTCGTTCAATTTCTACCCTCGGTGCACAGTCTCTTATTCAGCAACGCCAACATAGTCAACCAGATAGTGAAGAACAACTTCAACAACAAGAAATGAATCAAGAGCAACAAAATAACCCACCATAGGAAGACAACATACCAGAACATCATTCTCCTGATTATTCTCATTATTAAACGTTATACAAACAATAATAGAATAATATTTCAGTTTTACTTGTATCTTTAGCTTCTTTTTAGGATTGTACATTATGTTTCATTATGCATTAATTAGAATACATTTGAATTTACTTGTTATTAAGAGTAGTTAGCTTTATGTTTAATTGGATTGTTAGATAAATTATTGAATTGGACTGGATTGAATGTTACTCATTTTACAGGTTATATTGGGAAGAGACAAAAATAAAATGGCTCTGGAAATAAAGATAGTTTTATCAACGGATTTACCGACGGATAATTCGTCGATAAATGACTAAAGACTAGCACTGATAATTACAGACGGATATATTCGTCGATAACTTTTTTGAAAACAAACCACCTAATTCAGACTTTACTCATAAAAATATTCGTCGGTAATTACCCATGACATTTCCGACGAACATATCCGTCAGTAATTACCGATGGATTAGAAAAATATGTGAGTAAATTTTACTGACAACACAATTTCTAACAGATTTCTACCCATCAATAATATTTATTTACTGATAAATTTTCTTAGTTACTAGCGAATTTTGTCCGTCGAAAAATCTATTTTTTTCTTGTAGTATTATCCCTTTTTTCTTTGTTTTGTTGTTGTGTTCTTGATATTAAAAATTCAATAATCTCTCAATTATATGGTGTAAAAAGGTCATTCTTTTTCCGGTAGTTATATTTGCCAAACTATTTCAAAATTCAATTCACACTTCTTAAACTTTGACCATTAATTTTAATATATGTCAAAGTAAAAACTTAAAGAGATTATTCACGACTTAAAAAAAAAATACATATATTGACAACAATGAAATAACAACATTCACAATTTGCTCACGCCTAAGGAAATGATTCTCCAATTTCTGTTCATGGTGTATTATTTCTAATTTATTTCTAATTATATATATACCTTTACCAGGTTTGAAATATGGACTTTGATATGTAATTTTGTAATTATTTTGTTTCATTAATTTAAATATCTAAAATTTTGACCAAATTTTTTTACCAATTGTATTTTATATTATATCAAAATTAAATACTGTGTTTTTTATTATAGGTATTTATTACAAATATTAAATAAGTAAATTTATATATGTACATATATTAATATGTATATATATATATATATATGTACTTATTAAATATATAACATATTTACTGTATACGGTCAGAATTGGATTTCTAAGAATCGAATTTCAAACAGAGACTCGACACTGAAAAACCGTCAAAATTTGATTGCTAGAAAACCAAATTCCGAATTGCGATTTTACTTTCCTTTTTTTTTCATATTATATATATATATATATATATATATATATATATACAAATTCAAAAATAATATTTAATTATCCAAATAGACCTCTAATATATATTTACCTATATGGAGCCAGACAAGTAGTCAGAATTCATTTTCAAAAAAATCAAATTTTGAATTATTTGTGTTTCTTTTTCCACTTGGGATATATATATATTTCTGATTTTGAAATATATATTCATCTTCTTTTTATATTCAATTTTATTATATTTTCTCTAATTTTTAAATATACAATTATTTTTTTATTAACAAATAACACTTTATTTATATTTTTAATAAAATAACAATTTTTATTAGTATTTTATAACATCCTATTAACTAAAACATTAATAAAAAAATTAATATTTTAAATAAACTAAAAGAATATTGTATAAATAAAATAAGAAAAAACGTTATTTTATTTTAAAAATGAAGAAAATGTATTAAAAATACGAGGAAGATAAATATTTATTTAAAATTTATAGGAAATCCTAATATTGCTATTATTTATTGAAGACATGTTTCAAAAGTGTAATTTTTTTCCTTTTCTTTATTTTTAATTATATATTTTAAAAAGTAAAATAAAAGATAAAATATATTTTTTACACTATTCTATTAAATTTTTAATTCGTCATTATTTAAAAATTAATTAATTAAAAAAATAGTTTTATATAAAATTAATTATAAGAATACTCGACTGATAATAAATATGTACTATTATATATTTATAAAAATTCTCTTAATAAATTTTGAATAATATATAGATATAATATTTTGACATTATTAAATATACACACGATAATAAATATCATTTAATTATCAATATAAAATTAACAACTTCTCGAAAAATTAAATCAAATATTTTAATTATATTAAACACAAATATTTATTATAATAATTATATAAAAATATATTTTTACTAAAAAAAATTATTACTATAAAATCGTATATTCAGAAAGAAACAATAAAAATGGGGCATTCAAAGATATTATAAAAACCAAAAACAAGATCGGGGCATTCCGAGAATCGAACTCGGGACCTCTCGCACCCAAAGCGAGAATCATACCACTAGACCAAATGCCCTCTGCTGCTAAGGTCCTCTATTTAAGAAATTAATATAAATTTTATAATATGAAAGAACCTTGTTAAGCGATTGCAAAGTGAAGTTTGTTTTGGTAGTGGGGGCAGGAATAGATTAATACAAGCTGTCATCATAATTGGAGTGGGAGGGAAGATCTTTAACCATAGCACCTACACTCTATACAACCCACCAACCCATCATTCAACCTTTCTGCCAATTTTCATAATGTGTCACAGATAGAGGCTTTAAATTGATCGCATGTATTAGATGTAGTATTAAGATAAGAAAAGCACAACTCTTTGTAGATCTATCTTGGTGCCTATGCAAACACCTCAGGGTAGTGATTTGCAAAATGTGTTTGGTTTGTTCCATCCTACACAGACACAAACGAAACGTTTCAGAAAAGTTGGATTCTAGAATGAAAGCAAGCCAGCTGGATGTTGAATGACAAGGTGCTGGCAATTGCAAATTTGAAACCATTGGTCCCCACAATTGCAAATTTAAAACCTATTATAGTTTCTAATAAATTATAATCAATGTTAAAAAAACATGTTACTAGCATTTCTGTTATACTAATTTCGTAGATACATTTTAATGATGATTTTCTTGGTATTTTTACAAGAAATGCGTTAATTTCATTTAAAGTGAGTGTAAAAATTAATAAAAAAGAATTTTACCCCATAAATCAATCAAAATCATGGTAAGTATAATTTATATGATTGTTATTGTAAAATTTAATAAATTTATAATAATTTGTGATTAGTTTATACATGCAATATTTTCTCTAAAAGAAAAAGTATCAAACGGGAAGATAAATATATTTAATATTTAAAAAATATAAAAAATATCTAATTTTAGTTAATATTTTTAATCAGGAAATATCAAAGAGGAATATTAAAATGATGTTGCAGGAAAATTTGAAATTATTGGTAACAGGTTGGAAAGTGCTTAGGAAGGCTTTGAAGCAAAAGGCCAATGAATTCTTGCTGGTAGGCTCATGCTCTGCAGCTTTCTCTTACATCAACTGAATGTCCATGTGCCAAAGTGCGTCGGCTAAATTTGTTAATGATGTTAACAACAATTAGAAAAATGATGCATAAGGTTTTGGTAACAAACAAAAATCACAGTTATTTCTAAACAGTTGAGTGTACAATCATGTCACATACATGATAGACTTAAATGTTTTTCTTAGTTTTTACGCATTTATATTCACAGTTGAAGACAGTGTTGGAACATTAAAATAGACGAGAGAAAAGTGTAGTTAGGTGCTTTAGTCTCCGCAATTTTCTGCTTACTTCTTCCCTTTTTTTTCCTTGTCTCCTCTCCACTCTTCATTCTCCTGTTCCTCTCCTTTGTGACAAACCAAGACTAATAACACACAAACAGAGATCATAGCTAGTGTTGGCGAGGTAAGAAGATAAGGGAAGAATGGCATTTGCAGGAACAACTCAGAAGTGTATGGCTTGTGACAAAACTGTTTATCTGGTTGATAAGTTGACTGCAGATAACAGAGTGTTCCACAAAGCTTGTTTCAGATGCCATCACTGCAAAGGAACCCTCAAGGTCTCTCTCTCTCTGCCCCTCTTGGAAATTATCGTTGATTATATATAGTGCATGTTTGTTTTAGTATCAGGGATCCATATTTTCAAGAAATTCACGTCAAGCAACATAAAATCAACTTATAGATGCTTTTCAGATGTTGGTTGATAATCAACGTGTTACCAAACACACAGACAGTGTAGTTCAGGCTTCTACCTTTGGATCTGATGTCTGCAATTGGTTATAAGAAGGCATATGTAAATGTGCCGGAATCAAAATAATGAGTGGCATCAGTCTAAGCACTTTCCTCTCAGGAATATTTTATTTCTTTGCGAGGATTGAATGATGATATGTTTTAGAAGATTACAAATAATATAGGAACCTCTTTCTCATTTGGTGTATTATGGCCTGATAACAAATCTCACTTTTCATAAAATGAAGTTTGCTGACAGATTAATGTATATGCAGCTTAGCAATTACAACTCTTTTGAGGGAGTTCTTTACTGCAGGCCACACTTTGATCAACTGTTCAAAAGAACTGGGAGCCTTGATAAAAGCTTTGAAGGTAATCAAGAATCTAATCATTTAATGTCTCACTATGCTTTTCTTCCTAGTTACTCGACCCACTTCCTTTTGCTTAACTAGGGACACCAAAAATTGCCAAGCCAGAAAAGAATTTGGAAGAGGTAAAAAATCTTAAGTCTAGGTACTTACAATGCACAATAGAACATCAAATTTTCAGCATTTATCTAATTTTTTAAATGTTTTAATTAGAAACCTGGAGCAGTCAAAGTTTCAAGTATGTTTGGTGGAACAAGGGACAAATGTGCTGGTTGTCAGAAAACGGTGTATCCCACTGAGAAGGTAATAATATAACCACAATGTTTGTCTAACACAAGTTAAGGTCACCAAAGCATCTATTCATTGGCACACAATTCACCATTCTAGTCTATTATAAAACCCTGATGTTGAATAATGAGTTCAGAACTACTTGTTCTGATTATGGAATCAATTTTTATGATGATGTAGGTTACTGTGAATGGAACTCCTTACCATAAGAGTTGTTTCAAATGCTGCCATGGAGGGTGTGTCATCAGTCCTTCCAATTACATAGCACACGAGGGAAAACTCTACTGCAAACACCATCATACCCAATTGATCAAGGAGAAAGGCAATTTAAGCCAACTCGAAGGTGAACATGAGAAGAGTGAAAGTAATGGGAAAATCAACGGCGAAGAAGTTGCTGCGGAAACATGATGAATATTCTTGAAACCCAGAATTTTGCTTTTTCAAGTTCCATGTTTGTGCACCGTATGTTTCTGCGTCTCTCATCTTTTACCATTACTTGCAGTCCGGGAAGCTCTTCACCCGTGACAAATATGGCATTCAATATTTTGTTAGTTAAGGTGTGTGGATCTTTATCATAAGTTTTTGGTAGTTGTGAGCGTTTGATTCAGATTGTGTGATTCAGAAGTACGTTACTGCGCTTCTTGAAACTCATGGACTTCCATTTGATATTGATATTATATACATATGTATGTTACAATATCCAAAATTGGTTTCCACTAAACATCTACACCACTTCCCGGCCAATTATTGCACAGAAATGCAACCAATCTCAATCAAACAATGAGTTCTCGCTCTGAATCCAACCATGATATATGAAAGTAGCTAAATGAGATTTTAGGCCACATTCTTTCAAGATAACTGAAACCGAAAAAATGGAAAATGAGTTTCAGTAGTTTGGATAAAAAGGTCAGGGGTAGTAGGAAAAGCAAACAAACCCAAATATTTTTGTATTGCATGTTATAGAATTCAGCTTATATCCTAATTTCAGTCTGCATCTAGTAAAATACTTTTTAGTTCTTGCATTCTAAAACGAAAGGAAAATTAGCACTAGAACCAAGAGTCCTGATGCTTACTGTAGAAGTGAAATATTTGAACAAATGAAATAATGCTATAACCTCAGATTATGTTTAAACTGATGAAGAAAGAAGAAATGGAGAAGAATAGAATCAAAAGAATTAATTGCCTACAGTCGGATCAATTAAAATATGATAGAATGAAATGAAAAGTCCGTAACACCTCATTTCATTCAATACTTATATTTTTCTTCTCCCTTAATTGAACGATATGATAAGGAGCAAACTTATCTTTTTTTAGTCTCCTCCATTCTACCATTAAATATCAAGACAATCAAATGATAATTTTATTTGATTTACTTATCCCTGTGTATCCAAACAAAGCCAGTAACAAGGGTTGTTCACTAGGTTCGTAACAAATTTGTTGAGTCCTAACTACAAAATAAAGGAAGTCTCAGACAAATGGTGGGAATGGCATGTTCCTGCAATTAAATAGCTATTGCAAGAAACTTTCTGTCCATACCATAGCTAAAAGCCATTGAACATCAACACGACAGAGAGAAGGGAAGCAACACAGGATATCGTCTAAGCAAATTGTTATTATTTCAAAGCTAACAATACACTATGCCACAAAGTTTAGGTGACATCTGGGTATATGATTTATTTATGAACAAAGAGTGCATAAGGGGAAATCAATCGGAAGAAGAATTTACAATATCGACAAGGCAACCATTACGTACAATATGTTTCATGTCTACAACAAAATTATCTGTAAGGAATCCAAATCCAAAAGTACCATTCTGGTACTGCCAAATCCTTCCCTCTGCATTCCTTGGATTTATTGTCCCGGCAAGTTCTGGAACAACTAAATCATAACTTGAGCTTATGTGAAGAATTCTGTTTACCACATTGTCTGGCAACTGGACCTGCTGAATTCGATTCACCACTTCACCATCCGACAAAGGGAGCTGCTCATGAGTTTCATTGTCCGGTTGAAGTGGTCTAAAATGAACCCGACTGTCATACAGAGATTCTTCCTCCAGAGAAAAGGGAGATTCCAGAAATGTAGCATTCGACGTCCAGAAAACTGGGGCATATCCTGCAAAACGCTCTTGAGGATCGCCAATCCACCGGCAGGAAATGCCCCCAATATCATCATATGCCACAAGGTAAAATACCAGACTCATGTCACCACAAATTCCCTGCAACAACCACCGTAAAAAATCCAATGAACCATCATAAGGCTACCAGGAAATCTCTACCGTCACTCACTCATCTTCAAAATAATCATAGATCTAAAAGAAAACCTAAAATTGGGCCACTCAATGCAAGCAACACGGACAAACAGTATCTATATTGAAATAAATTCAATAATCGATGCACAAAATCATCCAATTCAAATCCACACTTATCGACATGGTCCAATTCAGCGACCACAAAATTGACCCATCTTTCTCAACATCTAGCTACTTCCCAATTTCCAACAACAACAATCAAGATTTTAAATTGTAAGCTGTGTGTTTACCGCAATCCTTTGCGGTCGCAAAGAGCCCCCAAACCGCCGAAATTGCAGTTTCAACAGCTTGATCATGACTATATCTTTTTCTCATTACAACATTCTAGAGTTTGATTATCATGACTCAAAAAACCATGAGATAGACCATGTACACTAATCCCCCAAACTAGCAAATGATATCAATCATCAAATCACATGAATGATATGAAACCACCACTGGCTACACAAATGAGCACAACAACAATTGAGAGCAAAGAGGCACCTTCCAGAGGCCCTGCAAGGGCCTCTCCGGTGTCGGCGAGCAATTCACAATCTTGACAAAATGCTGAGGCTCCCACTTCCGCCTGGCGAGCCTCTCCTTCTCCCTGCGCCGCTGCCTCCGGGACCGGTCCCCGACTGGACTCCGCCGGTTCGCAAAATGCTGATAAATCTCCGCCATCAGTTTCTCCGGCGGCGATCCACTCTCCACAACCTCTTCTCCGCAATCATCACTGACAGAACCCCTAAACTGTTTCTCCTCCACAAGAAAGTGCGTGTTTCCCATGAAACAAACATCCACCGCAACCAATTCGTTCTGAACCTCGGGTTTCACACCGGGCTTTCCATCGGGGTCGAGAAAAGTAACCGCGTGCCCCTCCTCGGAGAGGCTCATCCAGAGGAACGGCGTCTTGGTGACTCCGTAGCTGACCGATTTGGAAGGAGAAACCCTAGAAGCTGAGATAAACGACGGGCCCCACTCGAAGAAGAGCAACGAAGGGGTTCCGGGTCCGCTGCGGCGCCAGAAGCCGAGAAGATTTTCCCAGTGGTGGAGGGTATTGTAGAGGTGTTTGTAGGATATTGAACCCTTGGCTTTGCCCCATTGGGTGATGCGGGTCTTGGAACCCCACCTGCGCTCGCACATACTCAACCACAGCTTGGAGTCGCCGGCGCAGAGAGAACCCAATTGCTTGGAGGTGCAGGCGACGGTGGCGATTTCCGATGGGGCAAGGAAGGAGAGGATGCACACCTGAATATCCTCCGCGAAATCGGTGAAGGAAGAAGAAGCGTCGTTTTCTTGATTCACCATTTTCCTTATTGACTTGGAAATAAATGTAATTGAGTTAAAGAAGAGTGAAGTGCAGAGAGATATAAGCTAGGGAGTTTGTTAGATTCTTGAACACTATGGAATGATTCCTTCAACCTGCATTACTGTAATTGATCAGGGGAAACCTTGCCTGAGGAATGTGTCTTGCGTACCAGTAAACGACAACCACAAGCGTTACGTCTCTAGTAACATGCCTGCGTTTCGTCCTCTTCAAATTTTTCTTTTCTTATAAAGAGGAGATTCCGGGTTGATTCCTATGGACTATTTATTTTTCTTCATATTATTATATTATTATTGTATACATGTCGCTGGTCGTCTTCTACTCCGTGCTATGCACGCCTTTCCTTACGTTGACTATTAATCATATGCCTTCCATTCTTTATTTCATTTTAAATATTCATTTTACTCTCTTTTTTATTCTCTTTCCGACAGTAATTTTTATCCAAAATATAATTTTACTAAATTATATATTATTGTATCATGCATTATACTTTGTTAATCATTTTTTTTGTATGTATACAAATTTTTATATGTAATGACAAAGATAAAAAAAATTAAAAATGTATGTGAAAATTAAAACTTGTACATGGCATATTATTAGACGTTTAGGTATTAAAAGTACTTGTTTTGACATATAGATTCCTAATGTGTTGGATATAATTTAATGTTTGAGAGTTTTTGAATTTATTTTTTTTTCAAATAATCATGCAACACATAATATCTATCTAATTAACAAACAAAGAGAAAAACTGGATTTTGTACTTAAAAATGATGCACATTTCTACATAAATGAACAAATTGACTAAAATTCAAATGTTTTAGGAAATTGGGTAAATCGACTTTAGTTATATAAGTAGTATATTGTAAGAGGATTTCGAGATTTTTTATTTTTAAAATTAAAAAAAAAAATCGTGTTAGATGGCACAATTTAGGTTTTTTTACATTTTTTAAATTTTTTTATAAATTCTTATCGAATGAGTTCATTATTTTTTATTTTTTACTATATATGGAAAAGTCATTCTACCGTAATATAAATAATTTATTATAGAGAGAGAGAGACAAACCGTGCACATACTTTAATTTAATTTCATGTACAATGTCTATTTTTTTTTAATTATGTTCTATTTTTCATATTTTTTAAAATTAAATAAATAAAATTTTAATAAATTTCATTTTCATGAATATAATATTTATTTGATAATCATCTAGAAGTATAACACAAATTTAATTTAATTGATTTAATATTATTAAGTGTAATTAAAATTTCTATTTTTAGTTATTTAATAATTTATGTTAAATCTAATTTTGTTTATTATAAATAATTTAAGTAAAATGAAATTAATATAAATAAAAAAATTATATTAAAAGAAAAATTTATTTATTTTCATTATTATATGTTTTATTTGAACATAATAACATTTTTTAGTTTATTTTTTATTAATGAATATATTTTGCAATGACCTAGGTAGTTATAAACTCTTTTTATTATTCATATCATACATTAAAATCAGAAATAAAATTTAAACTCGTATAAGTAATTAATAATTTTCATTTGGTATACTACGAAATTGAAGTTTATGAGCCTTGTAAAAAAAATTTAACCTACAAGGTCAATAAATGTATTAATTTGAAAATAGCTAGAAAAATATACAACAATAACATAAGAGTAAAATAACATAAGAGTAAGATATAAAAAAATTTAAAACTCCTTATAATTATACAATTAGCCATTTAATTTGATGTATAACTTTGTGTTGGGAATTTGATAGCTCTTGTACATCAAATACTAATAATTCTTAACTATACTTTTATATATAACACATGCTATGTGTTGTTAATTTTCCTTCTATGCATATCTTAAAAGGCCAAAACATATGCTCTAGTATAACACATGATGGATCTTGCACGTCATCTACACAATTATCTTGAAAGATGATTCTATAATTTTTCTTGATCCATAAATGTCATACAAGTATTTTTATTTTTTTCTATCCATGCTTTTTGTAAATGATTGAATAATTGTGGTAGTTTTTCAATTTTGCAATCCAAGTTTTGAAAAAAACAAAAGCATTTTTCTCGATTAATTCACAAACAGTGTTAGCAATTTGATTAAAGTTTAAGTTGTGGTAATCAAAGAATAACACGTTCACAAATTATGTGTGAGAAGATTTTTATATCCCATTTGTTTCAAATTTTACTAAATGATGTTCATTCTCATTGATACTTGTTCTCATAGTATATATAACAAAAAAAAAAAATTGTCTAACTTATAGTCTACACTAGAATATGTATACACATACTCAATATGGAAATGCTCAAATATCTTTATAGTTTATTTTTTGGATTGGAAACACGTGTCTTCCCATATTTGAATTCGAAAAATTGTGCTTGTTGACCAACATATTTTTGTCAACAAAGGATTTATATTGTAGTATTTTGCACGAGACTCTATGTCTTATTTGTCTTTTCTTTTTATTAAATTATTAAAAATAAATGATTTGTTATAGTAAAAATCATTAAAGTAAATGTTAAAATAATATTAATTACTTTAAATTATAAGAAAATAAATAATAAAAATAAAAAATAAATTTGAAGTTAAAAAATATATAAAAATAAAATAAAAAAAATTTAAATACTTGTCTTAAATAATATAAAACAAATTTAATAATTGATTAAAATAGAATAACATTTATAAGAGACTATTTATTTTTATTTATTATGGATCAAACGTATAAATATATTTAAATTTATAATTAACGAAAATAATGAAAATCTTAATATAATATGATACTTTTAGTAATGTATTTTTTTATAAATTTAAACTTATTTTTTTTAGTTTACTTTTTAAATTTTATGTATTATTATTGTTAATTGATATACTATAATAAATTTATATAAAAATAGTCTTTATCTTCAAAATTCATTTCTTCAAATTCTATCTTTATATTTTTCTATTGTTTCTTTATAGTTAAGAATGTCAACATTTGTTCACACACTTAAATATAATATAAAGTAAATAGTATTTTTTTATTTTATTTTCTTTCTAATCTATAATTTTAGTATTTTTTTAAAATATATTTTATATTTTTAAAATTAATAATTTTAATGTAGTTATCTAAATTTTTGATGTGATGATTTTAATTAATTGATATTATCGAACTATTTTATTTGATTTATTATAGTACAAATCATAAAAATAAATGTTAAAATAATATTAAATATTTAAAAATATAAGAAAATAAATAATAAAAATAGAAAATAAAGTATCTTATAAAAGAAGACTAATTATTGTAAAGATAAAATAGAATATGGGAGGAGATGAGGATGATAATGTAGTAGAAATGATAGAGTTTAAAAAAAGTATATAGAATGTGAGAAGTTTAAAAAGAAAAAAAAGTTAAAAAAAGGATATATACATAAGTAATTGGATTAAATTTATTATCCCCTCATATATTATTATATATTATTAGCATAATTTTAGTTTAATTAAAAATTAGAATACAAATATACTATACTAATATACCAATATATTATAATATTTGTAATTTATTTTCATTATGTATAAATTACAAAACTAATAATTTTTAAAAATTTTAATGATAATTTTTTTAACTTATATATTACAAAATTTTTTAACACTTTAATAAATATAACTTTTTTAAAATATATTTCATCAATTTAAAGTATAATATTTTTGTATTTTTTTAAATGTGGATATCTTTAATATTTTGTACATGTAAATATAATTTATATATGTTTTTAAACCTTTTTAAAATTTGTTTTTAAAAATATAATATTATTTTTAATATTTAATATTTATATTTATAATTTTTTTCTTAAATGATGAACAAATAATATTAATATTTTTTAATTAATTAAATTTATAAATAATGAATTAAAAACATTTATTATCTTTTGAAAAATATAATATTATATTTAATATTTTAATATTTATATTATAAATTTTTTATTAAAATATTAGGGTTCTTGTCTTTTTCTTTTCTTTCATCTCTACTTCAAGCTATTAATTTTATTTTTCCATCTTATAAATTAAATTTTAAATATAAAAATATATATAAATATATAAATATATTTGTATTTATAGATTTTATATTTATATATTTATACCAATATACATTTATTTGTATATAAATATAATTTATTTATAAATTATTATCAGAAAATTCTTGTAGCTTAGTGGTTGGAGTATTAGTCTCCAACTTTAAGGTATTGGGTTCAAATAGTCATTGATACTAATGTGATAATAATTCAAATTTTTAAAAAAATATAATGAATAATAAAAATATAATATGGAGGGTAGGGGAGCCTCTAGATAATAGAGGATGTTGTCAATAAATAAAAAATGTAAATAATTAATTTGGTTATTGATTTAGCAACCGATATAAATCGGTCGCTATTTTTTTTAACTTTGCCACCGATTTAGCTACCGAAATTATTGGTCGCTATTTTTGCGACCAATTTAAATTATTATTTAAATAATTCAATTAATATATTAGCAATCGATATAAATCGATTGCTATTTTTTTAACTTTGTCACTAGATTTAGCGATTGATTTAATAATATTAATTTCGGTCGCTATTTAGGTATTTAAAGAATAAGCGACCAAATTATTGTTAAGTGATAAAAAGTTAATATAATTATGCCTTGAATTGTTATGAAACCACTTAACTTATGTTAATTCTAATATATTTTTCTCCCAATATAGGATGAATTCGAGAATACCTTGATACAAAAGGAAGGAGCATAATTGTCAGCATAATTAGAGTAAAATTGAAAGAAAGAAGAGCGCTTAAGCGAATGAATGATGCAAGGCCCGACCCAAATTCTCTTATAAAAAGATAAGTTGTGTTTTGAGAAAAAGAAGCAGTCTTGGAGAGGAGGAGACACGACTACTGTTAGGGTTTTGTCCAATCTTCATCAATTCTTCTTCATCAATTGAAGCATTGTAATGGCCAACATG